GTGAGTGCCCAAACCGGTATTTGCAGGCCATGGCCACCAATTTGGCTATCTCAACTCAAAACTAATGTTAAGGTGGGAGTGTCCCTTTAAAAGCGCCCCCTAAAATAAGGCAGCTATACATTCAAACGGTATTATGTTACGCATTTAGCTAGCCGCTGACGGGGTAAGCTTTTAACGTCCCATTGCAGACTTTACGCGATAGCCTGCTCAAGAACTCATCACGAGCGCCCTGAAATTCTCCATAGCTTTTCTACACTTACATCTTGCATTGTTCAGGATTCATAAACAAAATGTTAAGACCAATTTCGTGCGTCATCAGTCGCCATTTGTGGTTGAAAGGTGACAACCTATTCGCTCTCTCAAAGGAGTACAAACATACTAGCATAAAATGTGATACTGATCAGCCTAAAAAGTCAGTTTTGTTAGTTAAGCTAAAACATACCACATACATACCTTGGCAAATAGTCCGAATCGGTCCAGAAGACTCGGTCTCCGGCTATATTTGACCATGCCGTGTTCGATCCGGTTCGATCTACCGGAGTGCACAGTGTGCCGCGGACCACGGCAGGCCCTCGCCACGGCAGGGGTGCCTCGGACCAAACAAGGAGCCGGGCACCGCTCAGGCGGCCCTGGAGAGGCCGCTCCATGTCAGCCCGGTAATTAGATTGGTAACATGGCCGCCGACAGCCTAAGACTAAGTGGCATGACGGTGCGCAGTGTTCGTTCGTGGCAGACGTAGCCAGACACAGACCGCAAGCCGAGCAATGGTGCGGTGCACTTATTGATAATTGCACAATTGCATGACTTTATTATTGATCATGCAGTGGTTCCAAGTTCCAAATATGGAGGAATTGACGCAATTCGTTTCACCGATCGGTTTTCTCGTGGTGTTTTGCCACTATAAGCTAAAATAAATACGATGCCATTTTTCCTGTATATATCTAGCTCGTTAGAGAACAAAATACGCAAGTATTTTCAAAACCGTAGCAGTGAGCACCGCCGGCCGGGCCGGTACCCACTGCTCGAATTACCTTCAACGAGTAACTCAGGTCCGGTCCAAATAGACACGCCACGCGGTAAGCGGCATTCGAAAGAACGCCAACAAATCATGAGCACGAAGAAATAAAATCCGCTAATTTAAAGGTCAGGTCAAAGATCAGAGCACCACAGGCCACCTAAGGTCAACAGTTGCCTATTTCAATACTATTTGACAAATCGGCACTTATAACTCTCAAACCAATAGAGCTACGGCGCCCCAGAAAAGCGCATTCGATGACCCTTTCAAAGTTTATGCTAAATGCTGCTTTCAGGTTACCGATAAAGGCTTGTGAGGGGAAAACGTCAAAGTAACGTTTTTGCGGAAAGTTTTCTGCAATTGCTTTGACTCCAAACGGAATATTCTACTAGTATCACGTGCAGCGGCGTATTTAGAAAATCGCGAAGGGGGGGGGGCCAAGGGTTTGGAGGGCGCCACCTCACCCAAGGAGGGCGCCATACGGTCGCGAGATAAAAAATCGCTCAGTGGGGGCTGGGGGGTTGGGAGGCGTTTTTTACCATGCCACCAGTTTTTTTTTTGCGTAACCTCGTATAGGTCGTGCTGCATTGATTTTGCATCGTGTGTATTCTTTATACTCCAGGTCACAAAAGGTCAAGTGTTCTTGAAATGCTGCGCCGAAGGCGCGCGAAATTTTTGAAAACAACCTTTTCCTCCGCTTTTTAGGCACGCCTTTTATACGATCACTGTTCAAAGCTCCTCTCGCTCTTTTACCAAATTTGAAGGTGTAAAAAATACCTAAGGTTTGGTCGGGCCGCTGCCACACAAACTGTACAGAAAGCTTGGCTCATGGGTGTCGATGTATAAAAGTTTATTGGCGGTGGCATATCTACGCACCAGATCACCGTATCGGATTGATACCGGAGCGCGAGATGCGTAAACATCATCCAAATTACCTCAGACCAGCCTTCATAGCCTTCTCACAGATGCATACAGTGTACCCACATAACCAGTTTCAATCACCGAAACTTCAGATGCCTGCTGTTGCGCCCGAACCTGTTGACAATACTTAATCGTAATCCATATAGATGCCATGATGCACGTAAAGTAGGATCAATCCGTTAAGACCAAAGACGTGTTTTATGCATCGTAGAGCGTAGATAGTTTTGGTAGGTATAGATACTTCATTCATTGTGCTGAATGCACGTTCATTTGTGGCAGTTTTCACAGGCAAGACATCAACTATGTGCAATAGAACGACTAAGTTGAAAAACATGCCAAAGGAGTAAATAAATGATAGGAGGGCAGCGATCAACGGATGTTGCCAATAGGTAGAAGGGCTGCGATCCACAGGAGGGCACTAATAGGTAGAAGAGCCCCGATCAACATCCCGAGTTTCGACAGTAGGGCACCGATAGGTAGGAAGTTGGCGAGCAGCAGGAGGGTGCCAATGGATAGAAGGGCAGCGATCAACAGGAGGGCACCAATAGGTAGGAGGGCGCCGATCAACAATCAACAGGAGGGCGCCACCAGGTAAGAGGGTGGCGAGGAACAGGAGAGCACCAATAGGAGGGTGGCGATCAACAAGAGGTCGCCAATAGGTGGGAGGACGGTCATCAACTGGAAGTCGCCAATGAGCGGAAGGGTGACGATTAAAATGGGGGTGGCAATGGTGAGGAGGGCGCCTTTGCTCAAGAGGATGACCTAACAGGAGGGCGTCTGTGCGGAGGGCGCTGGTCAACAGGAAGGTGCCAGTGGATAGGAGGGCGGTGATCAACAGGAGGGTGCCAGTGGTTAGGAGGGCGGCGATCTACACGAGGGCGCCAATAGGAGAAGGGCCCCGATTAACATTCAACAGGAAGGACTAGGGAACCAATAGGTAGGAGGGCGGCACTGAACAAGAGGGTGCCAAAAGGGAGAAAGGCGGCCTTCAAAATTTCACATGAGGGCTCAATAGGTAGGAGAGCGCCAATAATTATGAGGACGCCGATCTGCAGAAGGGCGGCAATGTGTAGCAGGGTGGCGACCTACAGGAGGGCGCCTTCGGGTGAGAGGGCGCTTATTTACAGGACAGCGGCTTACATAGGCGACCACCGTTACGCTTAGAGAGCTACAGCCTACAAATGTGGTTGGAGGGCGCCCGAGGGAGCCCTCCAACCGTATTTGGAGGGCGTATTTGGAATGGGCGTCCTCCGAGGGCGCCCTCCATCCGTATTTTCCCTGTAAACACATTCGCGATTGGAGGGCGCCCTCCAGTCGCGATTGTTTTTCGATTCGATTATATCACAATTACATTTGCGATTGGAGGGCGCCTTCGGCGCCCTCCAATCGCAAAGGGCGCCTTCGGCGCCCAAGGGGGGGCCATGGCCCAGTGGCCCCCCCCCCTGCCTACGCCCCTGATCACGTGCTTCGTCGAGAAGCGTGTGTGCGCGCCCTAACTCTTCAACAACAACAACGAGAAGCGTGAAATTAACTCTAATTTGACCTTATAAGGTGACCCGGTCGGGCCATGGCTCTGACCCGAGGTTAAACTTTCAAGTCGAACTTTCGGCGCGTCTTGAGGAGAGGAACAAGATGCCGACAAAAGAAATGTCGCAAATCTCTTAAAGGGATCCTCCCACCTTCAAAAAAGTTTATGAATTGGCATGAAAGTGATGTCGCTCGGTGCAGAAAGAGCGAAAACGAATATCTGCCAAATTTCACCGAAAATTTTTCACCGGTTTTCAAGATATTAGACTTTTACTTTTGTTTACTTTTTGGGATCTCCGCTGTTCCTAGCGACTTTATTTGGAAGCAATAGTTTGGCAGCTGAAAGTGCGGCACTTATTGCGCGTAAAGCAGCATATACCACCGCGTGCTACAAAACGTTTTAGTCAAACATTTAAAAATCGTTAGATATCTGCGCTGACGTCACACATTCAGAGGGGTGGTATTCCTATGCCTTAGCCCCTCTGAATCAAAATGCTGCAATGTTGAGATTCAATAATTCCGATTTAAGGCATTTCTCGATGTTGTGAGTGCCGAAACCGGTAATTGTGAGCCAGGGACCCCATTTTGGCTATCTCAACTCAAATCTAATGTTAAGGTGGGAGGGTCCCTTTAAGGGATGTTTTGAACACGGCTATTTTCATGTTCTGCCCTTTGGAGACTAAACAATTGACCTGAGGTCAATGTACGGACAACTTCCTAGGTTTTAAGGCTATCGAGTGCACTTTTACGTGGCGCTGTAGCTCTATTGGTTCCCGTGTTGTGTGCCTCTATTTCTAAAAATGTTGAAATGGGCAACATTTTACCTTCGATGACCTTGGTGACCTGGCCTAAAAAATGAACGAAGAATCGAACGCCGCTTACCGCGTGTTGCTATGTGGCCCAGGAGCCCAGCTAGAGGGGGAGGGGTGTTCAAACACCCCTCCCCAGCAGGGCGTGGAAATCCAGGACCCCAGCGGGCCGCAGGGTCACTGAGTGCCAACCGGATAATTCACATTAAGCGGTATTTGAGCTCAATTACTCTCGCTCGATTGATTTTGCCACAAAAGCGAAACGTTCACTAGATGCTTAACCATTTTTTAAGTAGACTTTCATAACCATCCAACGAAGTATTTCAGTAAAGAATAACGAAGTCTATCAGTAAAGTTCATCAGAAGTCAATCAGCTAAGATGAGATAGAATCTGAATTCTGAAATACTACAAAGTACTCGTGTTCTCCCACGCCGTTTTGATCATTCGCACCGCATAGGCTGTGAGTGACAAGGTGACCGTGTTCTCGTGCCCCTGGGCAGCCCTGCCTCTCACCAATCAGTTCGTGTAGGACGTCCTAGCTGCCAGACCAGCCCCCGGACTGCCCGTAGTCACACGAACTTGCACCCAGTGCAGTGCGCACGCTCATGATGCCGATGTTCTTAGCCACTCAGTTGCCTACTCCGGTCTATATCCTTCAGTCAGCTGTGTTCAGTGTTACTGTGTTCAGAGGAGCTGATAGGCATCGTATCACGGTATTACGACAAAATACATCTTAAAATAATTTATATTCTCGTCGTAGTCGTAGCAAGAACGAAACGGGAACAGTACATAATCAATGCTCCTCGTACCTGGCACGAGTTAAATCATCCGGGAATGTGCAAGACACGAAGGGCATGGATGAATGACTTGGCCGCCGCCGCCGCCGGCGGTCACCAGCCCAGCCATCGGGAGGGCCGGGGACCACCACAGCAGCGAGGGCACGCCCGCCTCTACCGACCGTGACGTCACACGGCTCGCCGAGACGGCCGGCCCGGGCTCAGCGAGACAAAAACAGAAAGCAACTGAAGGACAGGTGAGTTTAGGCCTCGAGCTCCTCTCCCTCCTCCTCGTCGAACTCTGCCTCGTCGTCGGCGGTGGCCTCCTGGTACTGCTGGTACTCGGACACCAGGTCGTTCATGTTGCTCTCGGCCTCGGTGAACTCCATCTCGTCCATGCCCTCGCCGGTGTACCAGTGGAGGAAAGCCTTGCGCCGGAACATAGCGGTGAACTGCTCAGAGATACGCTTGAAGAGCTCCTGGATGGCGGTGCTGTTACCGATGAAGGTGGCAGACATCTTGAGGCCGCGGGGCGGGATGTCGCACACGGCAACCTTGACGTTGTTCGGGATCCATTCGACGAAGTAGCTGCTGTTCTTGTTCTGGATGTTGAGCATCTGCTCGTCGACCTCCTTCATGGACATGCGTCCTCGGAACACAGCGGCCACCGTCAGGTAGCGGCCGTGCCGGGGATCGCAGGCGGCCATCATGTTCTTGGCGTCGAACATCTGCTGGGTGAGCTCGGGCACGGTCAGCGCCCTGTACTGCTGGCTGCCGCGAGAGGTGAGGGGCGCGAAACCGGGCATGAAGAAGTGAAGACGCGGGAAGGGCACCATGTTGACGGCCAGTTTCCTGAGATCAGCGTTCAGCTGACCAGGGAACCGGAGGCAGGTGGTGACACCAGACATACACAGAGAAACAAGATGGTTGAGATCACCGTATGTGGGGTTGGCAAGCTTGAGGGTACGGAAACAGATATCATACAACGCCTCGTTGTCTATGCAGTAGGTCTCGTCTGTGTTTTCGACCAGTTGGTGGACGGAAAGGGTGGCATTGTACGGCTCGACGACGGTGTCCGACACCTTAGGCGAGGGCACGACAGAGTATGTGTTCATGATCCTGTCGGGGTACTCTTCCCGGATCTTAGAGATGAGGAGGGTTCCCATGCCGGAGCCGGTGCCGCCTCCAAGCGAGTGTGTCAGCTGGAAGCCCTGCAGGCAGTCGCAGCTCTCGGCCTCCTTGCGGACCACGTCGAGGACGCTGTCCACCAGCTCGGCGCCCTCTGTGTAGTGACCCTTGGCCCAGTTGTTGCCGGCGCCAGACTGACCTGTGAAGCGGAGCAAAAACAAGTCAGTGAAACGGCACAAACAGCAAGACGGAAACCAGCGTAACAGCCGTTATGTCAGCCGCAATGAAAACGCCGAACTTTTACATTTGTTTTCAGAGGCCAGGGGCATCATGCCAGCGCACAAACTCACCGAAGACGAAGTTGTCGGGCCGGAAGATCTGGCCGAAGGGACCGGACCTCACGGAGTCCATGGTGCCCGGCTCCAGGTCGACTAGCACGGCGCGGGGCACATATTTGCCGCCGCTGGCCTCGTTGTAGTATACGTTGATGCGCTCCAGCTGCAGTTCCGAGTCGCCATGGTAGGTGCCGGTCGGGTCGATGCCGTGCTCATCGGAAATGATCTCCCAGAACTGCCGGACAGGGGCCACAGGTCAACACTCAGCTCCCGGGACCGGGGTCACAGGTCAGCAGCCGCCACCTCTGCTCGCAGAACTGTTTACGAGCCACGAGTCAAGTGGGCGACTCACGGCAAACGACTTTAGATTGTGGCACATGCCGGTATCGTTATAAGCCCGTGATGGTGCACATTTCACCTGAAGTGGCATACGAGCCTGCCGGGGCGTTGGCTGTCGAGTTGGTCTCTCACAGCAGTCAGTGACCGCAGCTGGTGAGTAACTCTGCCGTCACGGACGACCAACTCTTTCCTGCGCCGGCGGCGGCTGGCCGTGAGCCAAACACGCCAGCCGGCCGGGAGACCAGGGAGGGAGGGAGCAGGGGAGGGAGGGAGCCAGCTGACTGCGGCCACGCGGCGCCGAGACGGTTCGTCGCGCCGGAAGTGCGCGGTCAGAGACCAGCGAACGCACGCGGCGCCGACGGCCCGTGACCGGCGCCACGCCGCTGCCGACGAGCCAGTGCGGCGGCTGGCCTCAACACTGGCAGTACCAGCGACCTCAGGGAGCAAGCCAAATCTGGGATAAACCGTGAGGAAATTGGCGTAAACGAGTCCAAAAATTCCGCGACGAGACCCCTTAGTACCACCGACAATAGACTTTGGGAATTGAGCAAAGCTGTTTTGACTAAATTGAACAGTGACCGATGGTTACCAACCAGATGATATTAAATGAAACTATGTCACTTTGAATTAAATGTTCCTCGAAATTGTGACTAAACGAAAACGTAATGAACTCAGACGACATAGCTCAAAATGTTAGTTTTTGGGGATCATGGGCGTCCAAGCGCGGACAGCGATATAAAGCTTTTAATGAAAATTAAGTAATGACTAATAAAACGCTCGTTACTCGCCGCTACTTTTTAACGCGTATTCGCCTTCAAAACGAATCGAAATGCTTCCCATTACCCAGGCATTTTGCTAACGCCATTTAACAATGGCTTGTGCGATACATTTCGATTTTACCGTACAGGCTTTATAATTAATTTAGTGTTAGATGACAATAAACTGCGCAAATACGCAACTGAAGTCGGCATTTCGTCCCACCGAAACAATTTCTTAAAACAAAGTTTGTCTCAAACTTTTGAATGGAAAGATTCACAAGCTCTGTATAAAGCTCTCGGGTTCTCCGCTAACAGAATCATTTTAGGACACAATTTAGGAGGCGTCTCATGACATGCAGACGGCATAACAATATGAAACAGCCCCCCACGGTAACAGAATTGAGAATCCGTTCGGGCCGGCAGCGGCGCTAATGTCGCCAGGGCGAAGGTCGGGGTCGGCGCCCGGCCGGGGGAGGGGGGGGGGGGGTCTGGGGAGGGGCGCGGCCGGTCGGTCGATAGTCGATACCGGGGCGGCGGCCACGCCGTCGGCCAGCCGGCTGCCGGGACAGCCGCCAGTTTTTTATAGACCGCCCAGCGCGGTTCGGGCCGCACCAACTCCAGCGGACCAGCCGCCCCGGCCGTTAGTTAGTCTACGGCGCCGGCCGGTTCTCGCCAGTCATTTCCCCTCCCCTTTACCCCAGCCGGTCACGTGATCCAGAGCGCGCGCACTCTGCCGCCGCGAGGAGGCTCAGGCACGCAGCCGGCCGGACAAAGAATTCAAAAACGCGCGGCAAAGGGACAACGGCAGCGCGCGCGCCGCCGCCGGCCGCCCCCCGCCGCGGGGCAGACCCACATGTGGCCGGCGAGTCCACAGTCCACACAGGCACGGGGGAGGTCACTTGGGGCGGCGCGGAGGTGATCCGTGCCGTGGGAAAGCTACCGGTTCGGTGCCGGCCGGCGGGGACTTGGAATGTCTGACCCATACCGTGATAAATTTGATACAACGCTGTGAGAAACCAATGCCACTTGGCACTTTGCAACCCTTCAAATGAACTGCCGACACGATACAAAAACGAAATGAGTTCAGAAGAATTGTCATTCCGTCACGGAAAATATCAAAATGCACCACATGACCTGAACCGAACCAATAAAAAACTGAAACATATCTAATAGTCAATTAAGATGCGAACTGATGATCGTGAGATAAATCAATCTGATAACGAAACGTCGGTTACAAGCACGAGTGGCTATTAGTCCACACAGATCGGAAAAAAACATGAACTAAGAGCCCACGGTCACCACTGCCACAAATATCACACTCCTCACCTTTGATCCGATCTGGTTGCCGCACTGGCCAGCCTGGAGGTGCACAATCTCGCGCATTTTGTACTGTGATCTGGGGACCCTCACAACCGTACCGGCGACTCGTCAGCGACTGCGGGCCGCCGCGCGCGCGGGGCCCTCGGGTCGGCTCAGCGGAGCACCAGCCGACGCCCAGCGCCGGGAGCCAATCAGAGCGCGCGTAACAAACGCCGGCCACCGCCCAGCAACGGCTGGAGCGGCGCGGCGGGCGCCGGCCGGGTGAGCTGGCGGTGAGACACTTTCTCACCGGGTGAGCGGGTGCCGGGGGCGCCCTACGGGGCGTGCATGTCAGATGGCCCGGGTGGCGCAATGCAGCCCTCTCCGGCCGAGCTCTCCTGGCTCTCCTTAGAGCGGCGGCCGGCCGACAGCCGATGATTAGCCTGCTCAGGAGAGCGGTCGGCGGCGCCTCCCGCCTGCGTGGAAGGAATTTGAAGTTTTGAACGTTGCGCCACGCAGCGGGCTTTGGCGCGCGGTGGCCCGGGCGCGGGAAATAGTCTGGCGCCGACCTGTCCGTGAGCTGAGGGGCTAGTCGCCTCGACAGGGCGGACATCTGCGCGGGGGGGGGGGGGTTCAGCGCCCAGTGCACGGGTGGACCGAACCAGACCAGCAGCTGCTGACAAACACCACTGGCCCAGCAGTGTCAGCGAGCAGCTGCTACTGTCGGCAGTCGGCAGTCGGCAGAGTGCAGCTGACAGTACCGGTGACCCAACCGGCCATCACTACAGGAGCGATAGGCGCTTTTCACTGTTCAGTAACAGTCACCCTGTCGAGTCGAATGTTGCACGGCGGTCCAGCAGTGCGTGCTGACAGCGGACTTCCGCTCCTCCCCGTCGCTCCTCTGACCGGCCACGCCGGACCATGATCCCGGCCCAGCGTCTTCCGGTGCCCCGCCGCGCCTGGGCCGGCCGCGCGGCTGCTGTTTGTGGGACGTGGGTGAACTGGGAGTGCCGCACGTGGGGCAGGTCAGCTCAGCAGCAGGGGCACAGGGCACGGCTACCAACCACGAGTGGTATGCTGACGCGGCAGTTCGCGACCCGCTGCTGACCACCTGAACGGCATGCAGCCAGACGGAGACCGGTCTGCATGATGATTAGAAGGTTCTCTGAATGGAAACTTGTCTGACCGCCGCATAGCTACACGTTCGAGGCTTGGACAGGGATAGCAATGCTGACATGCTCAGTAGTAGTTGATCAGTTTGCGATTCGAGCACTGCATAAACAAACATGAACATTGTAATCAATCAGGCAGTGTTCTCCATTTGCTGGCATGAGTGACAGGAGGTACCAAACACGAGACCTTGTTAGATTATCAATGTCATTAATACGCTGGATTATATGTGGGATTATAATAGGGACGAATAGTAAAAGACGTAGGTAGGAACTAGGAGAACCTTTTTAAGTTCGCTGTTGGATAAAACTTCAGCGAGAAATCATACCTACGTGATACGTCCTACATGTCTTCATTTTTAGCACGGTGTAAAAAGAATTTCAATCAGCTACATGGGCGCTAATAATTTTTGCGTCTACTTCCACTTATTATTCCCTTCTAAACATGAAGTGTAGCGACTTTGGGGCATTTGAAATCATTCAGCATTCACCAGTGAAAATATTTAGGAAAACATTTGTCGAGTGGTTTGCAGAAGGAACTCAAATTCGTTAAGGAATTTCATTGCATTTTCATTGTTTGCACTTATCACTCTTAAAACGAATCCTACCAAAACGTGTCCAGCATGTGATGTCAGATGTCTATTAGAAATTATCTTACTTTGAATTGTGACCGACCAGAGCGGAAAGGGTCTCTGGATTATGCTGGCATTTATTCCGTAAGCCGTAATCGCCACGCCATATGTGGAAGGTTTTTGGTGTCAATATATACAAACATACATACATACATACATACATACATACATACATACATACATACATACATACATACATACATACATACATACATACATACATACATACATACATTCGGACTTTTTTTGTAACATGCTTTGATGTACTTATGTTTTATTGCAATTGGGAGAAATCGTGCAATTATTATGAGCGGAACAATTTCGTACTAATTCGGTATAGGGCCAGCAGTGTAAGCACCATTCTTAGGATGATCTTCGACCCTAAGGTTCTTAAATCCTTCGGCAACAATAAAGCTTCCAAAGTTCTTGCGTGTAGGTACCTACTGCTTAAAAATATAAAAGTTTGTTGAAACTGTTTCTCATAAGGGTCTCTCCGGAATAACATATTAGCAAAAATCAAAGGTAGAACAAGGGCAAATTTTACAATAGTGCGTATAGTTCCAAATTCGACATTTGCTCGTGTTATGTCCTAAATTTGTCATCTTTGGCTGCCACCATGGGTACTGACGAACGTGCGTCACTGTTGGTGACTCCCTGTGCCGGCTGGTTGCCATAGCAACGCCAGTTTTATCTGGCTGCTCAGGGGGCAATGTCGATGGTAACCATAGAGACACCGATAAAGCCGATCCGCCGGCCGGCCCCCTGGCCGGCACACGCCCCAGTCTCGTTACCCGTGCTGCTCTCATCACGCGACACAGGGGGAGATGGCACGGGTATACCGCGGCAGCTGCCACCGGCACCGCCGTGTCAGGGTACCGGAGGGCATCCGTCACACGTATACAGACGATTATTTCGCTATGCCGTGCAGATATACCGTGAGCCAGAAGACAACAGATGACGAATTTCCATGCAGCCCAGTGACATATTACTCGTTCATTTATCTTTTTAGGTATTCTTGTGTTCTGGACCTAATTTGATGCGGATATTTTCGTTCTCTGATGATTATCGAAGTTCGAATACCATCGTTCGGCCCTTGTACTCGATTGAACGTTTTTCTTCAAGTCGAGAAAAGAAGGAGAAGCAAAAAAAAGTTTCCCGTATGCCTTATGGCAGAACTTCTTACATCAGATGCGGACAATTTTTGTGACCAAACATCAGATAAAGCTGACCATTATTTTTTTCAGATTTTTGTTTCTGTATTAGGTATTTATGTGTAGGAGAGGACTTTTCGAAAACATCTGGGGATGTGCGGGTTGGAACATCCTCACCACCCCTTATTTTAGTGATCCTAGGTAAGTTTGGTTGGCTGGAAACGTTTTCGTCCACGTGATTATGATAATTATTGTAATAAGAATGAATAATAACCTTTTCCTCATAACTCAATAGGTAGGTACACTTCTTTAGTATTTCTTTAGTTATAATCAAAAGGTTATAATTCATTCTTAATACTACTATTATATTTGATAAAGTTACCTTACCTAACATTAGTTATAAACATTTTATTGTTATGGACTCTGACATCATGCAATTAGATTCAGACTATATCCAACAGAAGTTCCCAAATGCATCATACTAATCAATCAAATACGATGAACGTGGTACAATTGAAAACAAAAGGGTGCATAATCGGAACTAAAACCCATCTTCTAGTCAGCATATAATTTGCTGCGGCTGATCCGGTCAGTGCTTGATGAGATGACGTTCCGTTCTACATCCCATTTCCCCTCTGAGTGCACGGCTACCCAATGCCCATGGCTAGTGGCCTGGACCCTGGTGCCGTCCGCCCTTCCCTCCCCCTCCCCTCCCCGACGCTTCCCAGCCGGTGATCCAGTCCATGCCCTCTTCCCTGTCTCCCCTCCTCCCCTCCCCTCCCCTCCCCCTCCCGCTGCCCGGCTGTCGGACCGGACCAGGCAGAGCCCCGGCTCACCAGCACACGTGGCCAGCTGGGGAACCGGAGCGAGCGGGAGAGGGGGGGGGGGGACCATCATGCCGCCGCGCCGCAGTAGTGTTGCGAGATCCGGCGGATTTTAGGACCAGTTTTTCATGACAGTTTTGGCCGTTGCTGTGATGCAGAACAAGAAAACCAATGGTGGGTGTTGATACAAGTAATCCAGTGCTCCATGGATGTTCATTATCTATTTGTCATAGAGTGATAGCCGCCCAGGGAGCACCGCTATGTGAGTGGCCCGGTCCCGTGCGATTAAATTCGGCCACTCTGGGCCTGGTGGCGCCGCCAGGTTCGTGCCGCGCGGACCGGCCTGACGATCCGCGTGTAGACCAACTGTACCACAGCTGTGGGTACCGCGGTCCAATCGGACCATAGCTGCGGGCCCCGGTCCAATCGGACCACAGCTGTGTCACTGCGGTCCACCTGTCCCGAGGGTGCGTCACCGCTTGATCAATGATCACCGATGGCTCAAACGAGGGACGGCAATAATTCAGGGCACCGCAGTGCTCCCTCTCTCATTTGACTTGCATTTGACCACATAGGCGGCGGAACGGGGAGGGCACCAGGGCACCGTGCCCCCCCTTGATTTTGACATTTTAACCCTCGCACCGACGGGGGGCGGCGGATATCCGCCCCCCCCCCTGAGGGTTTTCGCGAATAGCGGGAAAACCGCGGCGCTACGCGAAATTTGGTATGACTATAACCTCATCAATTTTACACATGGTGTGCAAGTTTGAACCTCCTACCTTTTAAGGTCAGGTCACCAGGTCACTTTGAATGACCCAACCTCAAGTCACTTTTTTGCAACTTTGTCACCGTGCATTAGTAGCTACAATTTGTATATCTCGGAATTTTGATATCGGTGACCTAAGGTCAGGTCAATTTCGCGACCTCCCCATTATAAGTCAATGGGGGAAAAATCAACTCCATGTTTTTACCACTAAAACGGGTCGGAATGGCCCCATATACCATACATGACTTCATATACGATCAATCTTCACTACCTTGAGGTTTGTTTTGCTGTTGGGCAGCTGTGAGGTCATGTGACGTCATCAAAGGTCACCAAAGGTTTTTGGCCAATAACTCCGTACAGGAACAAGATACAGACGCGTGGATGGTCTCATTGTGTTCAGCTCGTCAAGACGCATCGAATGATATACATGATGACCTCGAGGTCACGTGACCTGAGGTCAACCTTTGACCTTGACCTTTCGAGGTCAACATATATATCATTCGATGCGGATTGACGAGAGGATCACGATGATGCCCTTAGTTTGTTCCTATCTTGACTAATTCGAAAGGTATTCGAGAAAAACTCTCTCCATATCTAGCGCCGCCATTTTGACTTTTTCGACCCCTGTGACGTCATCTTTGACCTGACCTGAAAATGACCTTTGTAAAAATTGTAGATCTTGGCCGTGCGTATCCGATGCCGTTTACCGCTTGTCGCTATCTTGTTTCGTTCTCGAGATCTCAGGGGGGGGGGCGGTCATCCGCCCCCCCCGTCGGTGCGAAGTTGGCGCAGACCCCCGTCGGTGCGCGGGTTAACATTAGCCCGGCCTATGGGCGTTGCATGGAAAGAATGGGACCAAAAGTCGTCAGACGTCAGTGCCCCCCCTTAATTGAAGGTGTTCCGCCGCTACTGTTTGACCATGGATGTCATGGACAATGGACCTATTGCAAGGGAGCTTTATGTAACTGCTGTAAGAATTTTCGTGAAACTGCATAGTGCATGTGGTAAGAACTAAGAAGGTTAGGTACTAAGCAATGTCATACAACGACGTGCATTTCTAAATCAGTATACGAATATACATACCTAGGTACATACGTATGCCTATCATATTGCCGTTTGGCATAGGCGTGGGAACCGGGGGGGGGGGGGCAGTGGGGCAGCTTGCCCCTCCCCCCAACTCTGGGGCCGTGGGGGCGGTGCTCCCACAACACCTGAAAACACTTTGGAAGAACGTTAAGAACGTACAGGGGTATTAAGACCCCTGTGGGGTAAAATGTTATGCCACCGTTTTTCAGAACCCCCATGGTTCTTCACGTAGACGGCTTTGCATTCTCATGAAAAGAATCCACACGATTCTTCCACACTGAGAAAAAAATTGACTCCATATGGGTCAAAACTC